GTATCAGACACATCTTAGTGTCCAGATTGACATCTTTGCACTTCAGCACTTTAGAGAGGTCTCTAACCGCAGACTTTCCCATCACAGTAAGTCTTTTAATTTCCTGTGTTGACTGTGGATCCAAGAAAACCAAAACTGTGTACAAACTCAATCTCTTCACCATCTATTATGTTGCTGCCAATAGGCTCAGTAGTGAAAATCTTTATTTTATTGAAATTGAGTCTCAATCTATACTGAAGACTGCAGTCCCTGACCTTCCACAACAAATGCTTCAGGTCCTCTTCAGTTTCAGCAAGCAAGGTTGGGTCATCTCCATAATGCAGACTGATGATTCTTGCTCCAATCCTGAATGCCACATTTTTCCTCATAGAGCCCAGCCTCCTGTATAACCTGTTCTGTATAAAGATTGAAAAGGTATAAAGACAGGATACAGCCCTGGACAAAATCCTTCCCAGTTTTGAACCATGCAGTGTTTCCTTGCTCTGTTCTGATGACTGCCTCTTGGTCCAAGTATAGGTTTCACATTAGCACAATCAAGTGGTCTGGGGTTCCCATCTTCCCAGAGTTAGCCACAGTTTGTTATGATCCACAAAGTCAAATGTCTTTGCATAAGCAATGAAACAAAGACATTATTCTGCTATTCATTGCTTTCTGCCAAGGTCCATCTAACATTAGCAACAATATCTCTAGTACCAGGGCCCCACCTAAATTCACCTTGCATTTCCGGTAGTTCTTTGTTGATGTGCTGTTCTAGACGTTTTTTGGATAATCTTCAGAAAAAAACTTGCTTACATGTGATATTAATGATATTGTTCTATAATTTCCATACTCTGTGGTATCACCTTTCTTTGGAACGCAAACAAATACAGATCTCTTCCAGTCAGTTGGCCAAGTGGTTGTTCTCCAGATTTCTTGGCACAACTTGATGAGCACATCTAGGGCAGCATTTGTTAGTTGAAATATGTCAATTGGTATATCATAAATTCCTGGGGCCTTATTCTCAGCCAATTCTTTCAAAGCAGTCTGAACTTCTTTCCTTATCACCATAGGCTTTTGCTCATATGTTGTTTCATGAAATTCTTCTGTGTCTGACAATTCTTTTGGGTATAATGATTCTGTGTACACTTTCCATCTTCTTTTAATACTTCCAGTATCACTCAATATTCTGCCCACATCATCCTTAAGTATTGCAACTCGAGGCTTGAATTTCCTCTTCACTTCCTTGAGCTTAAGAAATGCTGAGTGAGTTCAGCCTCTTTGATTTTCCGACTCCAGCTCTTTGCACATTTCTTGATAATACATTACTTTATCTTGTCTTACAGCCTTTTGAAATATACTGTTCAGCTCCTTAATGTCTTGATTTCTTCCTCTGCTTTGGCTTCTTGGTGATCCTGTGCAATATTCAGAGTCTCTTCTGACATCCATTTTATATATACTTGCATATAAATATCTATACATCTAGATATAGAGATAGAGATAGATATAGATTATACAGTGATAGAGATATAGAGATCGAGATAGTGATAGAAAGAGAGAGAAAGATAGAAAGAAATAGATATGTAGATATATGACTCTAATCTGTGGCCCTCAGACCTGTTTATAATCCTTTTTGTTCAAACATTCTTCTAGGTCCTATAGCCCTGGTGTGTCCACTTGCTGTACAGAGGTAACTCGTGGTGAATGTAAAGCTGAACACTGTGATACTGAGGTGAAACATGAGAGAATGGTTACTCATAGTGGACACTATTTGGCGGAACTCCCTGATTAAAACAAGTTGGAAAGCAGGAGTGGCATCCACTTCTGAAATATCTGGCCTCAAAAAACCCTATGAACCTGCAGAAAGGATGAAAGTTTAAAAGTGTCTAGGTTTTGCATCCTTAGGGTCACTATGAGTCACCTAGGACTCTATGGCACTCAACAACATATGATATGATATGATATGATGTAATATAAATAATATGACTGATACAGCACTGGTGTAGAAAATTGAGGTTTTGATGCTCTAGGCAGGCCCAAACTGTCAAATGAACCTTTTGAGACAAAGGGAAGAAACAACAAAATTATGTCTCCTTGGAGTCAAGAAGAAGAAAAAGATGATGTTCAATTGGTTGGCTTCTTGGTGCCATGAAAGAACGTCAGGTTAGAAAGGGTAAATAGAGATCATCAATCCCGACCTCCACTCATATACAGCCCACTATCTCATAGTCTGATAGCTTAGCGGGCTACAAGGGTTACATGTTGGGTTGCTAACTGCAAAGTCAGCAGTTCAAACACATAAGATACTTTGGGGAAAAGTCCGCCCCTGGTGAGATTGACCACCTCAGAAACCCAATGGTGGGTCACCATGAATTGGAATTGATTGGGATTTTCACTTTGTTCTAAAGAGGACAGATAGTATCGTTGGGAGCAAAACCCCTGAGTCTCTTCACACTTAAAATTCTATGTCAACCTTCTAATTTTTCCTCCTCTTCTCTGTGCTCTCCTGAACCACTGAGGTTACGAGACCCTCCCTTCTAGTGACACTGACACAATTGAGTCATAAGAAAAGCTTCACAAGGTAAAAAGAGCACAGATTTCTCCATCCATTCCTGTTTCAAATTCCAGTTTCAAGTGTCAGTGTTCACACTGGTAGTACAGAGAAGAGTTGTTCCTGAGGTCCAAGGTAACTGCTTCATTACTTCTCATAGCATTTCTTCGTAGATTCTCATAGGTTTTCTTAGGTATGCAATAAATAGTAAAAGAAGTAATGCCACCTCTTTCTCCTATTTATAACAACTATTTTATCTTCTTCATTTATTTGGGAAGAGTCACCAAAACAAGACTTTTAAATGACCTAGATATTTCCTATTTCTACAAAGTTTGGATTTAGTGTTTCATTATTTTGAATTGTGTATGCAATTGTTTTTTAGTCTTCATCAGGTTTAAGTAATTTTTCCTATTCCTGTGTTACAGTACTCCTATTAGAGGAGACTATTATCAACTGTCCTTCGAGTATCTATTAACATATGACTCTTCTTAAGTTTGTTGACATGGTGAATTCCCCACTATTTCCTATTAGTGAGCCATTTATGCATTCCCTAGAATGCACTGCACTTGGTCAAAGCATGTCATTCATTTGATATACTTCTGCATTCTATTTGCTAATAATGCATTTTGCATGAATACTCACACTTGAAACAGATCTAGAATTTCTGGATAATTTTTCTCAGGGTTTGGTTTTATCGGTTATGCTGAATTCCAAAAATGAACTGAAGAGTTTTGCTGTATGAAACAGAACAAGGCACTTCATCCCCTTGTGCCTTTCTTCTTATTAGAAAATGAATATTATCTACCTTACAGAATGATAAATAATATTTGTAAAGTACTTCTTTCAGTGCCGAGCACATCATAAAATCAAATCATCAAAACCCGCTGGCATCGCGTCACTTCTCACCTATGGTGACCGCCTGTGTTGCCAAGTGTAACTGCTGCCATAGGATTTCTGGGTTGTAATCTTTCCAGAATCAGACAGCTAGGCCCTTCCTGTAGGATGAGTTGGAACTGCCAACCTTTAGGTACAAACTGTCCATGTCACAAGATAGAGGCTCAATAAATAATACTGAGGGTAAGGAAGAGGGCACAACCTCCACTGGGTCGGCCACCCAGAGCTGGTTTAGAGGGATACTAATTCTTG